TGGTATGGTATGGTATGGTATGGTATGGTATGGTATGGTATGGTATGGTATGGTATGCTTTGTAATGTAAATGTTTTAGATCATGCTATGTTTGCGAAATGGTTATTCAATTAGAAGCACGATCAGCTTCTCTCTTATTCTTAACTCTAAATTACCATACCATATTTTTTTAAGACATCATTTTTTTCAACAGACTTATCCCTCCTCCATATTGTTCTCATTTCTGTCATTTCGTTCACTTTTCTTTGCTAACTACGGTGCTAAAGTATGTGTTTCCGTTTCATTCTTGAATGCACTATAGATTAAGAGGCAGTCCCTCACGTTTCATTTTGTCCCTCACAAAATACATACTTTCTGAAAAATGTCTTTATCAAGACCTTTTGATTGAGAACGGAAAAACAAAAATAGGCATTCTTCTCATAAGGCTGACTTATACCACGGCTACTGAGTTCGAACGACAATGATTTTAAAGACTTCAAATCGAGGTATTATAGATGTTGAGTCATATTAATTGCCATAATGAGGTAACTCGATATTAAAATGAATTTTGTTTCTGTCACTTTGAACTTTGAAAAATGCAGATGATGGGTCTATTTATTAAAACTCTTCGGGGGCTCTTGTGGTCTAGAGGTGCACGGTTCGCCTCTTACTAAATAGGTCCCATGTTCGAAACCTGACAGCGACGGAAAATTGTCTTCTCTAAAAAAAATGTTCTCCTTTCTCCTCCTTTCCGGGTGTCTCGCCATGTTCTGTCACCAGCTTTCATCTCCACGATCAAAACTCTTCTATGAATTTATGGTTATGTCTTCGTCAATAAATGACAAACCAAGTGAGGGGTTCTAAAAAGGAATGCATTCTTTGACGCATCCGAGGTTCATTCACTTCTGCCCGATTTAGCTGTAACTGACTGATATTTGCATAGGCTAGTCAAGATTACCGCCATGTCATACGATAGCATCGGCTTGTAGAAATGTTGCTATTGTAACTTTGAAAAAAAAAAAACCAATATCATTTTCCTTTTTGTATTTGTAATTATCAGAAAGATAACCCTTTCCTGGATCCTGGAGAGGAGGGAGGAGTAGCTAGGGCATTTTGCCGCCTACGATGATACCTATTCACCAACTAAGTAACCAGATTAGTAAGTGTCTTTGGAATTACATAGCAGACTTTTAAAAAATGTATTGCAAATCAAGTAAACCTAGCAATATTAACCCCCCCCTCCTCCCCCCAGGGCAGTGCCACTGACTGAAGTGTCTTTAGGCCATTCACAAAGGGCGGACATTTCTCGTTCAAGCATAGTAGAATTGTAAATGGGCTGACTTATGTCACGCTAATAACTGTGCCTGATCTACAACAGGGAACTGCTGCTTTTTCTTTCCTGATCCTTACTATTGTCATTTTTCCTCTACTTCTTTTGTATGTTTGTCACTCCCTTGTGACCTGCTATTTTGGGGTGCCTTGATAGTCGAAGCAGACCTTGTGCTGTTGAAGCTAGAGAGGTGAGCAGTCTAAGTCTGATTCCCTGTATAGACTTCTCTGTTGACACCCACCCCTTGGCGCTCATATGAAATTATGCAGTTGCGAGCGCCGTAAAACCCTCTACTATAAAAAATACAAGCAATATTAAATTACATGTCGACATTTTCTGATGGACAACCGAGTTGAAAGTCAAAACATTCTAAATTCACCTTGTCTTTGTAGGCAAGTTCAATTTTGGCTTTGGCTGTGAGTGCAGACTTGGTCTCCATCACCGAGCGTCTGTTGAGGCGTTCCACGAAGACAGTGACAGCGAACGATAGAGAGGTAGCAGCCAGACACAACATCACGTTCCCGGCAAGCTGTGGATGGATGGGTGTATGGATGGGTGGGTAAGTTGGTGAATAGATGGATGGATGGATGGATGGATGGATGGGTGTGTGGGTGTTTGTGTGGATGGAAGGATGGATGGAAGGATGGATGGATGGATGGATGGATGGATGGATGGATGGATGGATGGATGGGTGGGTGAATGAGTTCGTGGATGAGTGGATGGGTGGATAGATGGGGTGGATGGATGGATGGATAGGTGGGTGGAAGGACAAAGGGATTGATGGATACATAGATGGTTGAATGAACGAGAGGTGTGAGGGGGTGGGGTTCACGGATGAATTAACCATGTTTTTTTCTCAGTTTCTTTTGAACACGGCTTTTACAGATAGCATAATAATGTAACCCACTATCATGAAATAAAAGAAGTTCAACTCTTTACCCAGACTGTTCTCATGATCATAAACAATCCTTCATAACCACTTTCATACACAATTCTGAAAAACATTTAGATTCTATTTTTTTTTAACTCGGTCCAATGTTGTATACTTGGGAAGGGCACTTTGCACGAATGCTCACATTGACTAAATCCTTTTGAAGGTGGACGTAAATATCGGAGGCCCCGCCTCTTAAATAACCCCATAGTGTTGATAGGGGCGTTAAACCTATACCATTTCACCATTTTCACCATTCAAAAAAAAATAATTTTTTAAGTACATGCAGGTGTTTTTAACCCCCCACAGACAAAATCTAGGTCATTTTGGAGGCGAGCTTTGATTTTACCTATCAGGGCCAACCCAGTCTAAGAGGGATACATCATCAAAGCAGAAAGATCGAGATTTTTTTTTTTTTTTTTAAATTCTTCCAAAACGAGAATGTAGTCTCCTGCATGTGACAGCACCACAGAGGCCAGGGTTTTTAGCGGGGTTCTTTTTTCGTTGGGTTTTTTTTTTCAGTGACTTTTTAATTTTTTCGCTTTTTACTTTAGAATTCTTTTTTGTGGGTTTTTTTATGGGGGGGG